AATATTTTAATTATATAAAATGACAATAATGACTTTGTCTTTATTCAGACGTTCAGTGTCAAACGTTTTTCTCACCTCCTCCATGACCAGTTTGGGTGAAGCCACTCGGATGGCGATGCCCTTGTCGGCGAGTTTGTCCAGGACGTCCTGGAAGTCCAGGTTCCTGCGGGACTTCGCTCGAGAGAGAGCGCGTCCCTGAAACGACGACAAGAGAAGAACGACGTCAGACAAAGTGATGAGACAAACGTCCAGAGACGTTTGACACATGATGAAAACTTCTTTGGGACTTGGACACGAGGACGTCCATGTTTTTCCAAACATCGATCATCCGATGGAGACGATGGACGTGACGGGACTCTTACCGCTCCGTGACAGGTGGTGCCGAACGTCTCCGTCATCCCCTGATCGGTCCCCGTCAGGACGTAGCTGCAGGTTCCCATCGTCCCTCCGATCAGCACCGGCTGACCTGTGAGCTGAACCAATCAGACGAGGAGAAAGTCAGCGGCGGCACGGTGGATGTGTGACTCGTACTGCGTCGGAGGCGGCGTGCGTACCTGGTAGTCGACGGGGATGAGCGGGTGGTGCGGAGGAAACGCTCTGGTGGAGCCTTTGCGGTGAATGAGCAGCGTTTTCTGTCTCCCGTCCACGATGTGCTCCTCCACCTTGGCGATGTTGTGAGACACGTCGTAGATGACGTGCATGTCCAGGTCGTCCGGCGTCGTGCTGAAGACTTCAGAGAACGCCTGAGAGGAAGACGACAAGAACAGACTTCATCCATCTATCAGTTTCCATTCATCCCTCCGTCCTCTCCTCCTCTCTCCCGATGGAGTGATGAAGACTCTACCTGTCTGGTGAGGAAGGTCATGGACGAGCGGTTGACCCAGGCGTAGTTTCCCGCCGCAGCCATGCCCTTCAGGTAGTCCTGACCTTCCTGTGACGTGATGCGAGCGCACGCCAGCTGACGGTCGTTCACCACGATCTTATCCCTCTTCATCGCCTTCTCCATGGCGACCAGAGCATCTGAGAAACCAGAGAATTGAAATGATTCGTTCACTTTTCAAATGAATAACGAGCAACTGAGTGATTCATGATTGCAGTTCCTACCTGTGGCCACCTGGTGTCCGAGGCCTCTGCTGCCGCTGTGGATCATCACACACACCTGACCTTTGTGGTCGATGCCCATCTTCTTGGCGGCGTAGTCGTTGTAGATCTCGTCCACCACCTGGATCTCAGCGTAGTGGTTTCCTGCTCCCAGAGTTCCGAGCTGCACGACACAGAAACATGGAGTCAGCCTGACAACGTCCCTGAAACCAGCAGGGGGCGACTCCTCTGCTGGTTTCTATAGAAAATGACTCGGCTGTAAATAAAGACGCGAGCTCCGGGGCTGATGGGATACCTGGGGGAGGCCTCTCTTCTTGGCCTTAGAGGACACCTTGTTGGGGTCGGCCTGCAGCATCCGGCCGTACTCCTCACAGTGCTCCTTATCCTCGGCCCAGGCGTACCCCTCCCTCAGAGACCAGTCCACCCCCATCTCCAGCGCCTCCTCCAGGTCCCTGGTGACACACGGGAAACGGTTCACACATGTAAACAGGAAGTTCCTGCTCTGATCTAGTTTCAGTGTGGGCGGATCTTTCCGTACTTGGCGCTCATGGGGATGACGCCCTTGGACCCGACTCCGACCGGGATGTGGTTGAACAGACTCTGAGCGAGCTGCTCCTTCACAGGCTGCACGTCACGCTCGTCCAGGTTCGTCCTCAGGAGACGGACGCCGCAGTTTATGTCGAAGCCGACGCCACCTGCAGGAAAAATGATTATTTCTTTTCCTTTGGTGCAATTCCAGAATCTTTCCATGAATCAGTTGATGTCACCATTGTTTGATCACTAAATGTTCTCTGATGCTCTGGAGCGTCACGTACCTGGAGACACCACAGCATCAGGGTCGTTCATGTCGAAAGCCGCCATGTTTCCGATCGCAAACCCGTATCCGGAGTGGACGTCTGGGAGCCCGATCGACCTCTGAGGGGAAATAAATACAAATCAAAACCTTCAGCAGTTCCATCTTTAAACTCTCAGGGTTTTTTCTACGCATCACGTTACTCACGTGAATGATCCCGGGCAGCGCCGCCACGTTTCCAATCTGCTTCATGGCAGGAAGGAAGCCACCGAACCCTGAGAGGAAGAAGAAGAAGATAAATGATGAGAGAGAGAGACAGAGAGAGAGCAGGTGGAGGTGAGGTGGGCGAGCTGACCTCCTCCTCGACAGGCGTTACGAAGCTCCTCAAACATCAGCTTCTCCAGAGAGTCGTTGACGTAGAAAATCCCTTCGACCTGAGACGAGAAGACGTTTGACTGTCAGTGAGAACAGGTCGACGTCATGTGACCGAGCTGATGGAACGAATCCATCATCGTGTTCAACAGTTTGGTTTCCTCTTAGTTTGTCAGATATAAATGAAGTTTATCAGTTGTTTGTCTTGTTCAATATTTAAATGATACACGATGATCGAATGTCTGTTTTAAGTTGTTTAAATGAAACTCGTAGTTTTTGTTCGACAGTTTCTCCTTTAGTAAGAGATGATCAACCATGATCTATTAAAATAACACTATTTACTGAACAAACGTGACGTCACTTCTGTTACGAAGTAATAAAAGTAATACTCGTTTATTTTTTTTAGCTTTCTGAAGATCCAGTTCTGTTCTTGTGCTGAACTCCATTAGAAAATTAACGTGTTCTTGAGTCAAACACTGTTTTCATCCAAACCTCAGGTCATGATGTAATATATTTTAAATGAGTTAGCATCAGTGGGATCTTCTCCTGGATTCGTCTCATGTTTCATCACCGACAGTTTCGTCTCTGAGCTTCAGCAGCAGATTTGAACTCGTGTCTTCATCGGCATTGAATGAATGTTGTGAACAGGGTCCGTCAGTTATTTATCGTATTTTCCAGAGGGACTTCTGAATGGTGACAGTGAGAGTTAGCCGACATGTGCTAACGGAGCTAACCGGTTAGCTTGCTGACTTCTCACCTGCATGTTGGGGACGAAGCCTTTCTTGATCCTCCAGCAGTTACTGGACAGTTTGTCCAGAAACTGCAGCTCATCGTTGTAACTTCGGCTCATTTCTGACGCACACACTTTTCGTTGTTACGGTTTAAACGACGCGTTTCTGCGCAGAACTGAAGCTAGGAGCCAGCGCAGCGCTACGGAAGCCTGTGAGCTAGCTGACCCAAAAACGCGATTGATAAACTGGACGTGACGCATGAAAATAAATGAAAAATAAAACAAAATGGCGACTGAAGGTTTTTTTAGAATAAAACTACAAAAGTCAAAGTGAAGCTGAAATTAAAACGAGCCTGTTCTCTCTCGCTCGCCGTAGTTGTAGTCAAGTTACACTGTGACGTGTTCGGCGGAAGACAGCGACAAAAACACGGATGTTTGGAGATTGGCCTCCAAAACAAAAGCACGATTCAGACTTTTGCTTTTACAAAACTTGAAAACACAAATTCTTATTGTTTGTTCGTTGAAACTTGATGAAGTGAAAAAGTTTATTAGAGTGACTCTCACAATGTTGGCGTCATGACAGCGGTGGACACAGGGTGGCGCTGTTATTAAGACTGATTGAGGGACGCAGGTGAACACGTGATCTACAGGAAACAACAAACATCTGCTACAATCAGGTTTAAACTCCAGATTATTTTACATTTTAAAGATTCAAAAAGAAGCAGAGGATGAAACTGTTGTTCAGCTCAGTTTGTAATTTTAATCTTTGTATTTTATCTGAACAAAGTCGATTTTCCTGTAAATAATAAGATAAGTCTTATAGTTTTAAATAAAGAATAGTGTCCAGCTGCTCTTTGTGATTTTATTATGTTTCAATTAAGCTTAGAAGCAAATGAAATGTCGTAAAGATGGTTTTGGTTTTATTTTGAAGGTCTCACCCGGAGGTGCAGTGTCAGTGCGCGCGGTGTTTGTCGCTGGTTTCCGGTCTGAGTCTCTTTGATGTTTACAGAAATTTTACAGAAAAGTCAGAAAGTCTTCGCATTTCTTCTGCTGACGTCATCAGGTGAGAGCTTTTCATGTTTCTAAGTTGAGAGTGAAACTTTCTCTCCTCGTTTCCTGTGACGAGCTGTTTTCATCCGGAAGCTGAAACATCAACATGTTCTGAGAAACGAAAACGAAACATGCGAACGTTTTATTCTCCTTCATCACATCTACAGTATTCATCATCATCATCATCATCATCATCATCATCATTATTATTATTATTGTTCTGCTGAGTTCATTTCTCTTCGTTAGACTCGTGTGTAGATTTTCTCGTGTGTAGATTTTCTCGTGTGTAGATTTTCTCGTGTGTAGATTTTCTCGTGTGTTGAGTTCCTCTGAGTTTAATCTTCATTTCAATGTTAATTAACGGGAAATTAAAGTTTCCTGCATCAGATGTTTATTAACGTGTTTAAT